TTTACTTTTCTGAGAATGTTTAGGCCAGCAGAGAAGGCCTTGCTGGCCCTGAGTATCCGCCACTATATATTTATAGCTCTCACTGAAATACATTTCCAAATATTTTGCTTTTATGGCTCTCTTCGTCAAAAAGGTTCCCGACCTCTGTTCTAGAACGATAGTTCGCAGGTTGGGTCCTTCAACAACTTCAAAAGGCTCCTCCAAATGTAGCCTCTGTGGACCACATAAAATGTGGCGAATTTGGACAGGCTTAATGTGAATTGGACACCACATGCGGGCGAGTCATGCCGGAAGTGACGTCATGCGGCTGAAAATGTGGCCTTCGGAGGACTCTATGAATTAGGACACAGGCCCTGTCTACCAGTTTATTCATTCTTGTGCTGAACTGTTCGTATTCCATCTTGCCAGTAGTCTCCTTCGTCTGCTCTTTTAATAAGTACGACTGCGTTTTTCCTGTTTTATTCCTCTGCCTTCTGTAGGTTGGAGTGTTTTTGTTGTTGTTTTTATTTTTCTAGGATATTTGGTGTCTTCCTCCAGTGACTTCCATCCATCTTCCTTAGTTTGTTTGATTATTTCGTGATTCGTTTTCACAATAACCTTATTTGTCATGTCACTTTTTTGTTGTTTTGTTTGATCTCATTTTATTGAATAGACTCTGTAAACCTGCTGAGTTTGCTTTGGGGTCCAACAAGCCGTGACAAAAATTCGTCCACAATAATATGAAAGGCTCATCATCAGTTATTGCCAATGCTTGATTTCAGATAGTGCTTACGAAGAGTAGTACAATCAGATTTTAGGTTCAGGTGGCAATTATGTATCCACATAAGGACAGATAGGTTTGGATCCCCCCCCTCCCCGCCCTTTAATAAGTATCAAGATTTTTAAATTGGTTTGAAAGTCTGAAAATTTTTAAGTGTAACATGAAAAAAAATCAAGAAGGGGCAAAAAAAAAAAAAGAAATCAAGGCACTCTATGTGCATTTATAGCTTTGATAGTTGTGTTCATTTTTATTATGATCCCATATCCCATAAATAAAGCCTTCAGTAAAAAAAGCTAGGCCATTCAGCCGTGTACGCTGCAGTCTGCCTGTTTGAAACAAACAGCACTGACAGCTACAGGGCTTCAGTCTATCAGGCGCACTCCAAATGCAGCCTGTGAGCAGTCAAGCTGCGGCGCTAAGAGGATCCATGTTCAACGAGCAGGTCATTATCACCAGCTTTGAATTTCTGCCTGCACGGGTGATATCCTTGTGCAGTGTGAGCTCACATTTTATAGTGTCTGACAAACACAAATCTGTGCCTTACTAATAGCGAGAATGGATTCAGGATTGTGGATATAGTTCACAACCAAACAGAACAAAACATTTATTGAAAATACTGCATCGTCTGCGAACTAAAGAACCAAACACCTCTTTGACAAACAGTCAGAGTAGACTAACAAATCCAAATCTAAGGCCACAAACTATTTTTGTCATATTAATTTTATCAATTGTTTTTCAATACCAAAACATGACACGTGAGGCCATAAGAAAATTTTAAGTTTACAAGTGAAGAGTGAATATAGGCCCTTTGAGACTGCAAATATACTATTAAAAAATGTGACTGTGGGAGTAACTCAAAGTGCAAGCAGAGAACCCACACAATCACATGGAGAACATATGAACCCCAAACACTGAAAAATTACTTTGACCCACATCCCAATCAAAATCCCAACCTGCCATGAATTCGACACCTTAACTACACATACTGTCTATACAATGAATCTCGACAGCAATTCCTTTATTCTTCCACCTTGCAGCATCCCTTAGTCCTTGAGGGGAACAAGCTTCAATTTAGGGAACAACTTCCTCTGCTGCCTAATTTAATACAAATGTGGCATAGATAGTTCAACTGGACCGCTACAGACTGGACTGTGATGATCAAGTTAAGTTTAAGCATAAAGAACAGTGAGAGGAGTAACACATTGGGTGTTTTTAAGTTGTTTATCAAACAAAAAGACATTCAAACAGGCAAAAGCACATGGCTGACCACCACAGTGGTTTTACAACATGAGAAAACT